CACGCAAATTATTTTTTTCTCCAAAAAAAAAAAAAAAAAAATCTATACTTTATGAATAAATCATAGCTGCTACAGTTGACTAGCAGCAATAAACCATAAAGCCCCAGTAACACTTGAGTTAACCTCTCAAAACGCAGCCCCCAATCAACCCAGGCGAAGAAGAGATGACAGTTTGACCAGAGAGCAAGGCGTTCTTCACATTCCACACCTCAGCCCTAGGCAGCTCTGGCATGAGTATGACTAATGAACGTGAGCAGGCCGCCAGGATGCAAAACACAGCATGCTTTGAGCTGTTAATGCTGTTTGCTTCTGATCAGAAACTCCAGGGTTTGAAAAGCGGACACAAGTGTATCTTGCCTGAAGCCTGCTTAAACTTGTGATAACATGATACACGAGGCAAGAATGCTGTTTGTATGGAGTGAGACTTCTCCAAATCACAAGTGGAGGAACAATCTTGTAGCTAGATGGCACACTAGACACTCGGACCATCGTAACTGCTGGTGGGCAGCTGACAAAAAGCAACTTCAGTGATTATCAACAATCTAGCTACAGTGAAGTCAGCAAATATCAAGGGATGGCTGTAGGTATTAAGGTTTTATTCACTATGATTCTTCCTAAAGTTGATCCTGGTCTCAAATAATTTGACTCAAAATCAACAGAGTTTGAAGGAAACCCACATTTATATTTAGATTTATTCTGCCTTTTTTTTTTTTTTTTTTTACTTAGTGCTTTGTTTTGTCCACCGGAGAAGAATCCTCAAGTGTTGTAAACCAATATAAGGTCGTATGGACAGCACAGCTTAAAAAAAATGGCTCTAACAAACTAAAGCAGCCAAGCAAGATCATCTTCAAAGCAACTAGCCAACAGATACAGGAAACATGCTTGAAGACTCATGAGCATGATTTTGTCCAGAATGAGAAAAATGGAAAAAAAAAAAAACACCCAAACCAACAGCAAGGAGCTAAATTCAGTGGGTCAAAACACAGCATAACTGCATTATAAAAGTTGGTATACTTAAAGAGAAATGCCTGATGCTTAGAAAACAATCAGTCACATAGCAACGACTAAGACTGCACAAAATGAGAGTGAATCACACTGTGACTGATACAAAGCACAACAATAAAACAAAAAATGGATGAATGTGAGCTCAGGGCAATAGAGGGCATTCTTTTCAGTTACACAAGAGGCCTGCACACTCCCTTCCATTACAGCTCAACATGTGATTCACACATGCCCACTACTAAAGGGTCTTCCATGCATGCTCACCAGTGTCGAGCTCCATGGAAATTTCCACTTTCATTACTTTCTGTGTCTGTATGGTTGAGATAAACAGCTAAGGCAGAAGTAGCAGCACTGCTATCACACCTCTGAATGACAGGGCAGACACAATACAATGCACCAT